GAGGCACAGGAGCTCTGAGCTGGGTACTTACTGTTCAATCTCCCCACCACCCCTTCATCAACATAGACACCCAACTTAAACATCCCCCTAAGTCACCCCTGCATGGCTGCTGACCTGTGACATCGCAGTCCTTTTTAAAGCCCCTCAACTACTTTCCCTTGCATTTAGGATCAAGCCTCAAGTCCTTTTATGGACCTATCTGGCCCTGTCCCCACATTACCTCTCTCCTACTATCTCTACAGTCCACCTTTCCATTAGGATTCTGATGCACCATGCTCTCTGGCCTTCAGATCCACATTTACATTCCTTCTGCCTGGAACTCAGTTCTTTATCTTTGTCTGTCTCTTACTGACTATTCAGAAAACAGCTTAAAAGAACTTCAAGAAGACCATTCCTGATAACTTCCTACCCCCAAGCTCCAGACTATATCAGGTTCCTTCTTTCTATTATACCCAGCTGTAGTATCACATACTTCCTTATTCTTTTAAACTCTCATCATATTAAAAATTAGTTGTTAAATAACATTTGTTTAATGTCTGTTCTTACACTTCATGAGAGCAAAGCCCTGTTTGCTGCTGAATCCCTATGCCCAGCACAGTGCCTCGTACCTAGTAGGTGCTCAATAAATTATCGCTGAGTGTATGTATGAATAAATGAGTGAATACAAGCTGAAAAAGGGCAGGGAGTCCATGTCCATTCCTTGGTTATCCAGCTTAGGAAAGCATCTCTGGGTAGAGCCCACTCACTGTTTCCCTGAGTCTAGTCCAGGCTGAGGCAGCACTGCCCCACTTTGGGCCTCATCACCAATATATTATCGTCAGGACCACAATAACCTCCTCCTCAGCCTTTCTCCCTCTTATCACCCCAAACAGGTAGAAGAGCTCATGGATCACAGCACATTGCCTCCAAAATTAGTCAGGTAAACTACCTAGGCAGAACCATCTATCAGGCCCCAGGTTTTTTTAACCTGTCTCCCAGGGGACTGTATGTGTCAAGGAAGTTCAGCTCAGTTCACACAAAAGCAAAGCCTGAATATTGGGAATATCCAGGCCTATTTGTGGCTTGTGAAACTCCATCTTTCTGGTTCCTAAGAATTCTACCTATGAATCACCAATGGCCTCGGTAGGTAAGGCCAAGGACATTGGGGGACCCCTCAGTATACAGATACCATATGGGCTTTGCAAACCCAGAAAAGAGGGTGTTTCCTGGTCTTTCAGTCCTTTTGCTCACTTCTCCCTCAAGACTGCCCTACTGGCCCTCAGCAGGGCTTCATTTTTCATACTCCCCATGTCCCAGGTCCTTGAGTTGCTCACTGCTAGGCTTCATACCTGGGGAGACAATGCAGATGGCCATGAGCAGGACATGCTCTTCCTCATGCAAGTTCAGCTTCTTTAGCCCGACCTGGAACTTGATGAGTGGCTCGATCAGCTCCAGGCTGTGTCCGGCTGTGAGAGAGAGAATGGCCAGATGCTGTGGGCAGAACTGAGGAGCCACCCACTGCACCCCACCCCACATCCAGCCCTGACTGGACCTGACCTTGCCCTTTTTTCCCTGATTTTACCTGATCAGGGCCCATGACCCCAGGATGGGTAGAATCAGAGTCTGGGAGCTAGAGAGCATGTAGACAGAGCCTGGACACACCTTTTGTCACATCACTGATGCGGTATTTGTAGTCTTCACCCCCACAAGTCCAGGACATGTCATCCATGGTGAAGGACTGGTTGGAGCGCAACATGATGACCTCAATGGCACTTGACTTCAACAGCACAATCTGGTCCTCAGAGGTGAGGTCTCTGTCAGGAAGAGCAGAAGCAAGGGTCAGGTTATTGATCAAGAACTTCATGTCATGCAAATTGGTGTAGTGTTTTGACAGGTCTACACCTGCCAGGTGATCAGTATGTGCCCTAGACCCTCCACTGAGGAGCTGGAAGCCTGGTTGGAAAAAACAAGCCTGTTTCTTGAGGGAGAACAACTCAAGATTGTATGTCAAGATAAGAAATGAAGTGGCTCAGTTACTAAGACAAGGAAAACCCAGTGACTTGCCAGGATTTCCCAGTTTTAAGCAGCCAGAGGTATTTTAGGGACAGGAAGATAGAGCCTGAGGAAGCTCCCAAGGTTATGGCATGAATACAGTGGTCTACAAATGTATGGCCAGGGCCATCTTCAACAGCTCCCATGCTTTCCCTCCTTTCCCTCCTCCTGTCCTCCAGTCCTTCCTAGTAGTATAGCTCAGTCAACTCTGTCTCCAGGACATGTCTGGAACCCTTGACCTCATTCCCACTCCCAACAGGGCTTCTCTGGTTAGAGCCCCATCATCTTTTTTTAGCCTCCTCCTACTAGAATCCTGGAGTCAAAGCTCTAGGATCTCTCATTCATCTTTCTTCCTGTCACTACAGGGAAGTATCACACTCTTGTGCTCAGAAATCCTGATTATCAAACAACCCAGGATCAAGTTTGTACTCCATAAATTGGCTCCAAACTGTCTTTCCAGCTCCCCTACCCATTGCAACCTGCACCAACCCTCCATTCTAGCAACTGTGGACTACTCCACATTCAGATGCTGTTTTCACACCATCATGTCTTTGAGCATGTGACAGCTGCAGCTGAGAATGCCCTTCTTCTCCACCTCATCCTTCTGATTCTGAATCTGGTGAGGTCTTCTCTTGGAGCCCTCCACCTTCTGATTCTCTTCAGTAGAATTGGAGCCATTCCTTTACAACCCGCTGCACATTGCTTTTATTCTTATTTTTCCCTTTCCCCTTTGGCTGAGGGTTGTTGTTGTTTTTTTTTAAGTAGGCCTGTTTTGGACCTTAACTGTAAGCTACTTGAGGGCCTACACCACCTATTAATTACCTCAATGTTGCCCACACACTGATCACTTAGTCCTGAGCACAAGAGAGGGTGAACAAATATGTCAATGAGGCACAAGGCCAATGACTAATTCCACTATTCTGCGTCACAAGATGGCTTGTCTGAACAATGACAAGGAAAATGCAGGACCTGCTGATCAATTTGCTTCTTGTTTTTCCTCCCTTCTCTTCCTGACTATATACTTCTGCCTGGATATCCTGTAGATAGGCGATCCTCCTCTCTGTGGCTATGGTTCAGTTCGTAAAAGGATGATTGGGATAACTAGCAAAAAGTCTGCATTGGAAAAAATTGCAAAGTGCTAGAGTCAGAAGACACCTCTTAGAGGCTATGTGTTCCAATTTCTTCCTCAGCATTTTAGACATGTGGTTCCCACACAGCCTCCACAGGATTCTCCCAGTGCCAAGGAGCTCATGGTGTCTGGCCACCACTGCAAAATCGTTTACTCTTCATTAACAGCCTCTTATTCTATTGATCTATAACTCACATGATGATACACTCACTCATTCCTTGTACTTCTGTCTTCTCAAGGAACACAGAACCAGACCTCTCCACCAGCCATGGGTTCCTTTGAACCATTTAAAGGACGCTGCTGTGCACCCCTTGCATCTTCTCCAGGACAGACAGCCCTGACAACATGGCACCTAGACATCGCGCCATCCCCGTCACCTTTCCCTAGATGCCCAATCCACATTTTAAAAAACTAGAAACTAACACCACCCCCATTTGGGTTTTAATTTATTATACAAGGTAAGCATGTTCATCACTACATCTTTGGAAAACACAGAAAAAAATATAAAAGCAAATGAAAACTACTCATAACCACCATGAACCTTTTGGTACATTTCCTTATCTTTTCCTATGCAAATATCTTTTTTACTCAGGTCCACAGTAATTCTGCGTCCCACTTCTTACACCACTAAAATTTCTTTAGGCCAGTTCGTAGAGGGTTGCATAATGTTACATTCTATCAACGTACTATAAGTTATTTAATCGGTCTCCTATCCACCTAATTTGGGACATTTTGGTCACTTCTAGCTTTGTAGTAGTTATCTTAACCTGTGTTTCAAAGTGCACCTCACAGTCTGAACTGAAGCTGGTGGGCGTTGGGGGTAGAGGTGGAGACACCCTTAAAAAACCTTGTTCCTGCTATGACAGACACCAGCTCGGGCTCTGTCCTCCTCCCTGGGCCTGTGCAACATTTATACCCTGATCAGTTTCATCCCTGCGGCCACTTCTGGGCACCTGAGCTGTGCTCTGGAAATGTGTCCCAGTCTTGGTTTTTCCAGGCCCCGGGCAGAGCCCAGCCCTCCCACCCGGATTCCCACAGCCCCTCTAGCAGGCCTCTTATCTTTTCCCAGCCATTGCTCATGAGTCTATCTCTTTCATCAGACACCAAACCCTGAGGAGGACAGAGGCTGTCCTTGTCAACTTTAATACTTCAGTTTACGTAAGGAAGGAGTTGGCTGGATAGAGGAACACGTGAACACAGAGGAAAGAACAAAGGAAGTACTATGGCCCCCAGGTCTTAGACCCAGGAAGGGGACCCTGGGAATGGAAATGTCAGTGAGGCTGAAGACATTTTGCCCATGGGGCTGGGCTCCAGCTGATTCGGCCTGGCCTCTCATGCACATCTCTTGGCAGTGAAGCCTGTGGTCCTTGGTTCTCAGATCCAGGACTGCTCCTGGCCCCACTTCTTCCATGCATTTCTTTTGCAACACTGAGGGAGGGAGATTTGTGGGGTGCAGACTGAGAGTCTGAGAGAGGGGCAGTGGGAGCCAGGAGCAGAGCCCGCAGCCACACCACAGTGCAGTTCACACCAAACACAGTCCATCCAGTCCTACCCCACTTCGGTCCCATGCCCCCACTGGAGTCCCATCTGTTCCCCCCACCCCCTGCTCACCCACACAGAAGTCCTACCCTGCCCTCCCCAGACCCTCCACCCTTGCCTAAGGGCAGCAAGATCAAAGCCACCAGGCACTAGCTGCTGTTCTTTCACTTCTTGGAAAAACAAAACCCCTAAGCGCAGAAACCAGCAGAACCAGAGAGCTAATGGCTCCTCCTGGGTCCCACTGGAACCTGGGCTCTGGCCCCAGGCCAGGCTTAACATCACCTCTGTCCTGTCACAGAAAGTATCCACATCCGTGTGCCCCCAAGAGCTCTCTCCAAGGCTGGCTCTGTTATCTGTTAGAACACACTCTGCTCTGGGATTTTTCAAGTCATGCTGGAGAGACAGAAGCCAACCCAAGCATGTTCGGAATCAACGTAAGTGGTTTTGCATCCGTAACTAAACAGTCCCTGTACCTGCTCATACACACGTCACTTTGGCCGTAACTGCAGGGCTAGATGAAGGAACTCTGGAAAGTGAAGCTTGAAAGGGTAGGAAAGGGGCAAGCTTCCGCTCATCCTTGGGGAGAGAAATTGAAGGGCTTGCAGTGATATTGGTGTAAGGGTATCTGTGCTGAGGTTAAGAGATAGGGGCCAAGGGCATGGGAGGAAAAGGGGGTTGGGAAAAAGGGGGGTGCATAATGGAGGGGGCAGCAGTAGGGTAATCTGGTTAAATGAATAGGACAGTGTTCCCTTGTGTACCATCCCAGCCACCACTTAGAATCGCCAGACCTTACCGTGTGCACAGGGCATCAGATGCCGTCTCATCCCACTCCCCTGATAGGCAGGGAAGGATGGAACTGCCTCCTTGAACTAAGATGAAAGCTGGGTGCTACCGTGTATCCATCTACACCTTGAAGTGGTTTTTTTTTTCCTTCTCTCTCTAGCTGTTTACATAAAACAAGGCTTTGGAACACATGGAGTTTGCAAACAATAACACAAGAGTTGAGGAGAAAGTTGGAACTTGTACCAAGTGGAATGTGTTGTCTGTTCCAAGGAAAGGCTCTGGAGGGAAAATCCCAGGCCCAGCACAATGCTGAGCTCACAGGTGACACTCAGTGGCTTGCTCCTGCCTGCCTGCCTGCCAGAGTGGCCCTTACTCCTTCTGCTACAACAAAATGTACAATGCAGTAAGTGTGTCAATGCCATTTGACATTTTTCTCTTCTTTACAATTTTCACATTAGTTCCAGGGGAGGAGCATTGAAAAAGCCCTGGCATGTGGAGAGAGGGGAGAGGCATAGACTCACACGGAGCCAGCTGTCTCAGGGCAGAGACAAGCTGGGAAGTGCTGAGTTTAGCTTTGTGAATTACCATTACCTAGCTTGAAATGAGGTAACTTAGAAACCGGTGATTTCCCTACATCGCAGAGAAATTCACAAAACAATAAATGGTATCTCACTTTAGTTTCCATTCAGAGCTGGCAAACGTCAAGTTGTTTTCTGGCTCCCAGTATTCCAGCACTGAATCTGAGCATCAGCATTGAGGAAGCACTCTGCTCCTACTTCTATAGTCACAACTATTGCTGATGATAATATTGTTTGATATTGATTTATTTCTCTTATTTCTCAACCATATTATAGATGTATTTTATGACAATGTTCTAAAGAATGTACATATAGATATAACGATTTCCCAGTATCTCTACTAAAAGTATAAACTCTGAACTATTTTAAGAATATTTGACACCACATGACTCTTTTAATATAAGTATTATATTAAATGCCATTATTACAAAGACAATAAAACACATGAATGAATGAGCGAATGAATGAACGAATGAAAGAAATTTGTATGAATGAATCCATAACAGAGCATCTGTACTCTAGTAGATGTCCTTATACTTATCCTTTTGAACAAAAAGTTCTCAGCATGGTTAGGAAATGGCCTTGAGTGAAGGGTAAATTGGGCAAAGGGTGCCCAGGTCATATATGCCAGTCAATCTGTCTCCCTCAAGGACTCCTAAATGACTTCACAAGTCTTCGTGCCCAACTCTTTGCCCCCTCTACCACTTCACCCTGGTTTCAGAATTGGGTGAGGAGGGTTAATGTAGGTTTAAGTTAACGCATAGTATGAGGATTAAACCCAAGCCAGCTGGAGTGGACACAGCAGTGAACTAAGAGTTCCAGACCCGCTCTGACACACTGGCTCCAACCCTAGAAATCCTGGTGTTGACCTTTAAACCATGCTGGGCTTCCGCTGCAGCATCTAGGAGGTGCGGGGGATGAAGAGCTCTCCAGTGCGGCCTCCCAAGTAATGCTAGATGGGCAGCACTTCCTAAAACACACACTCCTGGGCTTAGCCCAGGGCTTCTGATTTAGGAGGTCTGGGGTAGGGCCTCGCTCTGTTTTGGGAGGCAGTGGATTTATGATCTCTGAGCCTCCTTCCAACTGACTCGAGGATTATAACTCTGTTCCCCAGATGTCCCCAAAGCTTCTTACCTGAACCCTGGGATCATCTTGGCAAAGCCAATGACCTTTTGGATGCTGTAACTGACCAGGTCAGCCAGGTGGGGCAGCATCGAGAGGTGCGACAGGTCTACGGTCACAGAAGATTCATCTGAGTCTTCTTCACCCAGATCCAGGTTGGAGAAGTTGGCCGTCTCCATCACGTCTGAGGAAGGAGGAGGGAAGAAAAGGAACTACGTAAGGACACTTGAGCCGGCCTGCCTCCTCCACGGCACTGTGAGGCCCTCCTGTGCCCCGGCGGGTGGGCGAGCGGGGCATCTCCCAGGGACCACGTCTCTACACGGTCGCTCTTCGGGCCCGGCTTTCCTCCGGGATTCCCCTGTCTCTTCTTTCAGCAGAGTGGGGCAGTGACACCAAAGATCACAGACACTCCAAAACAGGAGGCTTCTTCCAGTCATGATTTTACGTTCTTGCGTCTTTTTTCTAATGACCTCAAATAAAAAATGAATTTGGAACCCATAAACTTGTGAGAAACAATGTTTAACCTCGCTAGTGACCAAAAAATTGCTAAGTAAAACATCTGTGCTTTTCACCTATAAACTATAAACAAACTTGTTTAAATGTTGACACCAGTATTTATAAAGATGTGGGGAACTAGGCAATTCTGGTGCGGTACTGGGGCACTAAAGGAGGCACAGGTCTTCATAAGTCACCTAGGAAGCTATTGACAATAGGGGTCAAAACCCTGCAATTGTGTGTAGCCTTCCACCAGGAGTCCCACGTCCGGGGATTCATCATAAGGAAAACACTCTAAATAAGTGCAAGTATTTAGTCACAGGCATACAGTTATCTTAATGAAAAGTTGGGACACAATCTATTAGATATCCAATTATAGGGAATTTAGATATGTTATTGTGCATTCATACCCCAGACTACTATGCAGCCTTTAAAAACAATCTTCTACATGTACACTGAATGACATAAAAAATGATATAGTGTATTACTGTGAAAGAAAAAAAATTACCAGACTGTGAATGACACAATTCCATTTCTGAATATACATAAGTGTTTTAAAAAAATGGAAAAGGGCTACATCATAACGCTAACGGTGATTATCTTTGGGTGGTAGGATTAAAAGTTTTATATATATATATATGTAATTTAGTTTTTGTTTTCTTAATGTTTACAATGAACACGTACTACTTTTGTGTGATAATTCTTTAAAGTAAAAAAATTAACTAGTTTGAATTTTTAAATAAATGTATGTTATACTGATCATAACATTGGTGGGAGGTGGGCATCTCAAATCAATTACCTATGAGAAGGCATCAAAACTCCCAGATAATGTAACATTATTATTAAAAACTGAAGTACAGGCCAATGTGTAACCTGCAGATTGAGCCTCATTGATGCAAATGGATATATCATAAAGTCAGAGGGAGGGTTCCCAGGTGAGGGGCTCAGTCCATGCAGCGATCAGTGTGGGCGGGGAGACACAATGTCCGGCTCCACTGTTGGGGCCGGGCCTTCTGCCACACATTCCGGATCCAGGCACAGATTCATCAATGAGTCTGGAGGGCTCTAGGTTCCCCAGAGGGGAGGGGAGGCCCCAAGCAGAGGGCAGCAAGGTTGAGGCTGGGTGAGAGGCAGAGGAAGGAAGGACGAGGATGGGGGAGGATGAGGCAGGACGAAGAAGAGGAAGGTGAGAGAGGAGCAGGAGATCCCCCAGGGCTCCAGCATAAGGTCGGCGGCAAGGGAACCCACATGTTCTCCTTCCACACCAAATTGCACCTTCCAAAAGGCTCAGGCGCTAATGAATATAGTTCACAGTACTGTTTTGTGTATTGAAAGTTGCTAAGAGAGTAATGGCACACACAAAATCTTTGTAACTATGTGAGGTGATAGATGTTCATTTTGCAATGTATACATATATCAATTCATTATGTACACCTTAAACTTACACAATGTTATGTGTCAATCATCTCAATAAAACTGGAAACACTAAAACAAAACAAAAAAACCTCCAAAGGGCCCAGGCTCCGAATACCATTTAGAGGAATCTGGTCACCCCCAGGGAAGGAGCCAGGGTAGAAGCCTGGCTCAGAGCGAAGAGCAAGAGGCCCTGCAGGCAGACCTTGCCAGGGACCCCAGCTTGGCTGCTTCCCCAGCATGGGCCCTTGGGCACGTCCCACCTCTTCTGTAGGAAAGGGTTGTTCAGAAGACACAACGTGGCCCATGGTGCGACAGTGCCATCCTCCCACTGGCAGCCTAGGACGGAGGCGGGGAAGCTCTGGGCTCCTCTCCCCAGCTCACCAGGGACGGGGTGTGCAGTCCCGCTTACCTGGGGAGACGCTGTAATGATCTGAGCAGGAGGAGGAGGACGAGTCCCCCGAGAAGCTGGGCATGTGTCTCGAGAACGATCTGCATGGATGGCTGTCTCCACCCTCAGCCCCTCGAACCGGAGGCTGGAAGAGAAAGGTGGAGGATCAGAAGCTCACATTTCAGGTCGTCTTCCTACCTTGGCCACGATCTCTGACAGGAGTAGCCTTAAGGAAGTCCCACAGGAGGGGAGGGCCTCCCTGAAATGAGAGGGACAGAGCAGCCACCACTGTCCCCTCTCCGTTGGGCCAGGGACACCTGGCCCTCTGTCTCACTCCCTGTTCCCAGGCTCCCCTTGCGGCTCATCATTCCAGGCCAGCTGGCCGACGCACCCGGAACTGGCTGAAGTCGGCGTAGCTGGGGTCGTAGGTCTTGTGGTGGGCGTCCAGCAGGATGTTGATGATGCGCTGCTGCTCCTCCGACAGCCGGGGCCGCAGACTGTCCTTCAAGGCTTCCTCCTCCTTCCTCTTCATGATCATCTCTCGCTTCCGCTGCACCTCCTCATCTGTCAGGATGACTGTGGGCAGGAACAGGGCATCGTGAGGGCTGGGCCCCCAGCTCCTCCAGGAAACCTTCCTCGGGGCACTAAAGACACAAGACGGGAGGGCTGCTCCCCGCCAACACACAGGCTGGGAGCTCATGGGAAGGGGTGGAAAGGGGCTCCCTGCCTCAGGGGAGGCCAGACCCATGCTATGAGTGGAAAGTTGGATTTTCTATGTTGGCAAGGCAGGCACATGAGAGGGAGAAAAGGAGGCTTTGAGAGGTAGGTGATGTGGGCAGGCCGGTTCTCACGCACACATCGCGTGCATCTGGGCAAACTGAACTCTCTGGACTTTTGTTCCCTCATTTACAAAATGACAAGTTTGGTCCATATAATCTCTTCTGAAGTCCCGTTTTTGTTCCTTCCTCCATAGAGTGTGTCTGTGTGGGGCGGCAGAGGAAAATGTCTACCTGGAAAGATGGGATGTTTTGAGAACTGAAGGCAGCGTAAGCCTAGCACAGAGCAGCTGCTCATTCGACATTAATTCTCCTTCTTCTCCCCGCTCCCCATATTCCCTAATCCTGACGGAGACATGATGGGGAAGAGAGAGTGAAGGAGCCACCGTGTGGACGGTCACAGTGTCAGAAGCCCAGACGTGCTGAGAAGACCCCTCCATGTGGCCATTCCCATGTCCAGCTTCCCAGGTATGGAATTCGGGCATCTCATCCATTCTGACCAACATAGAAAGACTTTCCATCTTTGGTGCCCTGCAAACAATACCTCCGCTAGCCTGTCCAGTCTTGAAATTTCTGCCCAAGGAAGTTTTTGAGGTCTCCAGAAGTTCCTGCCAATCACACCTCACAGTTCTGATTTGGGAAGTTCTCTCCAGCTGCTAGCCAGGTGTGTGAAGATGGGGAGACGTTCCACCCTCTTCATGCCGTGCAGGGGGTTTGGGTGGTGCTGGGGCAGCTGCCTGGGAGGGCGGGGCTGGGAGCAGGGACGCCTGGCACAGAAGCCAGGCAAACAGACCTCTCGGCCGGGGCTTGCCGAGAGCTGACGGCAGGAGTGGGCACTGGGGCCCTTGGCCTGTAGCTACTTGCTCTGTGCTGGTGTTGCCAGGGCCTCTGCCCACAGAACTGGGGAGTTTCACAAGAGCAGGGAAAGGAACCAGAACTTCACAGTGGGTGGGTTCCAGGTTTCAAGAAAGGTCCATTGGCCCAGGTGCCTCGGGTGGGGGCAGAATGAAAGGAGTTGGTGGGGGTTGAGAGCGAGCCTGGGGGTGGGTAAAAGTGGGCAACGAGAGCTCCAGGCGCAGCAGAAAAGGGACGCCTGCAGCAAAAGATGGCGCGTCCCTGCCACAGCTGAAGTAAGCCTTACCAAGAGGAGAACTGGGAGGAGGCCACGCCAGGTTACTGACTCATCTGCCCAAATTGCTGCCAACCCTCCTCCCACAGAGGGTGTCTGCTCAGACCCCAAGAGGTCAAGTGGATTGGGAGAGGAAGGAGCAGGGAGCATCTCAGTCAAGGCAGGGTGCAAGGCCCTGGCCCGGAGAACCCAAGATTAGGTGTCTGGTCTTTCCTGCTCACCTGAGGGGTGGGTCGAGGCGGTGATGAGACTGGAGCTAGAGGGAGCTGGCTCTGCCAGTCCTGCCACAGGTATCCACAGCCTTGAACCACTCTGTGGTTCTGTGATGACACTCTCCTGCTCAGAAACGTTTCCTGGGTCCTCATTGCTTACCACGTACAAACTAAAGTCAAGACTCTCCATGATTTCGCTTCTTTCTAACTTTCCAACCCCATATCCCAGTACCTGCTCTGGGTATGTTGGGGTTGCTGACCTGTGATCATGACCTGCTCACCCTTGCCACCGTATTTCCACTTCTGCTGGATGCCTGTCCAGCTCGGTCTTCTCTCCCCAGCAGCTGTGCAAGTTCTATCCATTCTTCGGCGCCCAACTTATAGCTGGCTTCCTCTTACCACGAAGGCTTTCTTGGTGGCCTGGATATGCACTGAGCTCTCCTGTCTTAATTCTGTGGTATGTCTAGTTTTTCCTACATACATTGGTATCCAATTGCCTTCCACTCTCTAATATTTATGATTAGTACAGTTTCCAATAAATGCCTGTATAGAGAGAGGCAAAGAGTTTAAGTTCACCTTCACTAGAAATATAGGCTACTTTAAGGGAAGGAGCCACATCTTATCATTCCTGTTTCCTCTATACGGGCTAGCCCAGTGGAGCTTCCTGG